AAAAGTAAGCCTCGAAGGGAACAGTGATAGAGACTGTTCTACTGAGGCTGTGACTGTTCGCAGCTCCTGTCGAACTCTGTGCCTTGGGCAGAGAGGAACCCGGACGAGGCTGTGCCGAAGGGCAGACTCTCGTCCACGGAGGTAGACAGACCCGAAACTTTTTATGCGGGTTCTACGGGTACTCGGATGACCCACGTTAAACTCGGCCTTGTGCCACATTTAACCTCGTTGGGGTGGGGTGGGTCTGCTAATAAATATCAACACTGATATAGACCGAGCGCTGGTCAACCGACCCCCCCAATTCGTGTAACACCCTTCTGTTGTATTTATTGTTCAATAGACTATTTATCTGCAACCTCTTGTTTTGTTATTCCTTAACCAGTTACTTGGTCACAATATTGACTTACATTTAACCTCAAGGAAGGTAATAAAGCCACTAAGACGGGAAGGGCTACTGAGAGTGAAAAAATCTAAGGAAAATGTTATAGAGGAGAGAAAATAAAAGAATATTTAAGGAGACAGAAGATGGCGGAGTCAGGCTGAAAAGGGGAGTGTTGTGGCGTCCTCCTTCTAATGAGGCTATTGTGGACTCTTCCACTTACTATAAAGTTTGTAGAAAAAGTAAGCCTCGGGGGAATGGTGATATAGACTGAACACTGGTCAACCAACACCCCCTCCCCCTAAGTCGTGTAACACCCTTCTGTTGTATTTTTTGTTCAATAGACTATTTATCTGCAACCTCTTGTTTTGTTATTATTCCTTAACCAATTACGTAGTCACAACAGTTTCAGAGAATATAAGATTGAGCAACGCTGATTGATTTGCTGAAAGATTTCCAAAATCTTCTCTCATTTAAAGCAAAAAACAACTACTTTTGGGGCCCAATTTTAAAAAATTACCAGAGGGTGTCCTCAATCTTCTGAAATGTGGTGCATATATATCATTGTGCATTTGTGCAGCAATTCCTCTTTTATACAAGTTTCATTGAAGATTGAAGACGATTGACTAGTTGCTGCGATAAAACATTTTATTGAATTTTTCTTGTATTCGTACAAGTGATTTCTTTTATGGACATCAGTCAGTGCAGTCATTTATATGCCATGCGTGATACACACTTAGGCGATCATAGATCTTTCGATATATGACTGACGAGGCAGATTTTTTTTCCCGCAGTAGGTTTCTTACTGCAGTAGACCAGTTGCCATCCAAGGCTATAGAACCCGGTCTGTCCTGCTATTTACCCACAGATGGGGGTGGATAGAAGAAGGGGATTCATACCCTTACAAGTAAGTGAATGTAATGGAATTCGAACTCGGCTCTTCGATTCCTCAATCCGAGCCGCTATTCATTTCTCCTTATGGACATAGAGTTTGTAAAAACTAATCAAATGATTTGTGAGTCCGAGCGCTTTTGACTAATCTATTAGCCATGATCAAGGACTTTTTTTCTTTGTTTGTTTGTTTAACAGAATATGTAGATTATTTTTTACGCACTTTATGTCCAGAAAAAAAAAATCACTTGTACGAATGGAAGAAAAAAATTAATAAAATGCTTAATCGCAGGGACTTATCAGTTTTCTTCAATGAAACTTTTATATATATATATATATATATATATATATATATATATATATATGTGTGTGTGTGTGCGTGTATGTGTGTGTGTGCGTGTGTGTGTGTGTGCGTAAGCCCTTTCAAAATTAGAGCCATACTTTTCTGCAATCATTGCATCACTGTCAATCGTAGCGAAAATCTCACGCTCGGTTATTTTTTTGTGTCTGGGAATACTAAAAGAAATTACCCATACAAATTAATGGTAATTGTTACATCGTTTTACGACATTTCAGCTTCCGAATGTTTTTATGAGAACCGAGAACGCTGTTCTTTCGGATAGCGGGGAAACGTACGTATGTGTGTTGGCTCCGCGTCTACTGTAGCGCTCACAAATCAGTTTTTTTTTTCCTTTTCCGTCCTCACTGGCCCTCGCCCTCAATTTTTGTTCGCTCTCTTCATTCGATTTTGACTCCGTTGACCCTGGCCTGTAGAAAATGTTCTTGGCCATCACCCAGGAACTACCAATTTTCACGCAATAAAAACTTGTTCTGCTCCACAATTGGCACCATTCATATTCATCACTTATTATCAAAACAGAAACTACTTAATATTGTCACGGATGAACGTAACTCCGAGAAATATACATGTTTATAATAATTATTTGATTAGCATAACAAGTGAGGTTAATTTTGATAATATTTCTAAATTCAAGTTCTTCAGCTTAACTATTTTCGCCGTACTGTCGATCAGGGCCGTTGCAAGTGTCTCGTGCCTTCCTCCGAAACTATGTACCCCTTCCCTCATCCCACTATATCTCAATTTTCATAAGATAGTATTCATATAAAATACAAATTTTATTGTAAGCTAATTATGTACAATTATTGACTGTATGGAATGTAGGTAAACAATTCAACTAGAAAATTGAAAATAAATACAATGTATCTAAATACAAATTAGAGACATGCCATAATAGATCATTCCATCTTAAATAAATCAACAATGTTTTGTGGCAATTTTTAACATCAACTTGAGACTGTTTTTGTTCAAAAGTTGAATAAATTGAACACATTCAACATTATGGATAAAAATGAATTTTATATAATGATTTTTTTTCCAGACTTATGAGCAAAACAAATTCACAAATCTGGACAAAAACAACAATGCTAAGATAGCGTCAAAGTACGCAAAAATTATCATCCTTTAATAGTCAATTTCGTTGACGGAGTAGGTAATGGCTGCTACATTTGCTACTATGCAGTAACTACTTTTTTAAGACGTTGCATACTGAGAAAGATAATATTCGGAAAATGCTATTGAATTTCCAACATCATGATTTAAACTAGAGCTGTAGAACTTGGGAGCCTTACAAAGAAGAGCAGGAGTTAAACAGTTTCCACAGACGACAACTGCGAATTTTGATAGGGAAAAATACTATCATAATATCTCTAGCAAGAACTTGTACAGCAGATATCAAGAATCTCATTCGTCTTTGTTCATTTTGAAAACAAGATGGAAACATCTTGGATATTTTGCGACTGTATCCATAATGCCATGGAGTTTTACTTTGAAAAGACTGACTTTGAAAAGTTCAGAGGTCATCCAAGAACCACCATAGTCACAACGCTGAACCGAGACATTGAAAGGACAAGACAGAAATATTGCACTTTTCCTTTGGGGAAGTTTACAATTAAAGAAGATCTGCAACAAATTCGCAACCTTCGTAGAGGACAGAGAATGTTGGCAAAATATTGTCGAATCAGTATACAATGTCACTGAAGACGAGAGAACATTCATGACACTCAAATCGAAATAGTTTTGATGATGATGATGATGATGAATAGTCAATTGTGCTTAGTTTAATGTGTAACCTATGTCGGTAGAAAAATACAAATGCTGATAGGATATAGCGAGTCGCAAGGCACTGCCTGGCGTCCTAATCAGGCTTGGCCTCTTTCCCCCGTTAGGGGTTTGGTGGTAGTATAAGTGTAACCTTGTTTTTTGACATAGCAAATTTGATTAACAAAGCGACATACATGTCTTGCATATAACATACTAGCATATAACATACTAGCAAACTTGTGTCACCAAAAATGACGGTGCAGTATTTCCTCAATTATCCGGACAAATTTAGGAAGGGGTTGGAAAAATATATTGGAATAATTAAAAAATTCCGGTTAATTGAATACCTAAATTATCGAAAAAGAATGAAGAACGAAATTTGACAGTTATATAATCAAATAAGATTTTGAAACTCTTTGTTCAAGGTTTTGTCTAGGCTATTTTTGATAAAAACAAATCCGTTAAATTTTGTCTGTTTCCATCTGGCCTCGCGTTTTTTCCTAACTCCCGTAGCTGAGCAGATATATTTTTAAGGGTAGCTTCTCGTTGCATGTTCTTTGTATATCAACATCGAGAAAATTAGCAAGAATTGAACTAATTTTATCAGCGTTTTTATCAACTGTTGAATATGGGTTTCTAAATTCTCAAAACGCTTGTCTTAGATGAAATATTTGAATGGGTTTAGCTTGGATAACTGGAACATATTCAGCTGATTTCAATTTTTCTCTTCTTTTAACAACTGAATGATCGAATTCCGGTAAAATCAAGCTACGGATAATGATGGCAGTACTATATATATATATATATATATATATATATATATATATATATATATATATATATATATATATATATATATTTATATTTTGTTAATTTCTTCTTATTAAAATATTTTCACATGAGAGTCTTTAAATATATTTTTTCCAATTATTATTGTTATTCTATACTCTTTAATAGAATCGGTAGTTTCACTTAAATATCTTGGGACATTGTCATAACAGAGACACAGCCATCTGACCTCGCCAGTGAAAGGGATATTTTTTGTAAATGTCATCTCCCTTCAGGACGTTGGGGTTTATGACTCTTCACTTTTCTTCTTTATCTGTGAATTGCTGTACATTCTTGGGAAACATAATGGAAGTGTTTTCATTTCGGTCTGGAATTTAGAGTTTTCCTTCTATTTGACTGAGTAACAACCAAGGCTAGATAACCCTGTCTAAACTGCTATTTAACCCATAGCTTGGGTGGAGAACATATTGATTCAGGTATTTCCCACGGTGATTTGTGAGAAAGTGAATGCAACTGACGGGCCCGGAATTTGAAACCGGTCTGCCGATCCCACTTTCAGCACCGTTATCCGTTATATTACCAGTACACTAGTTATTGAAAAGGATAATAAGATTAATTCGATAAACATAGATGTTACAAATATACTTATATACAGAGTTTTTTTGAGATTAGTGTAATTTTTTTTTAACATTTTTCATCTTAAATACTGATTACAAACAAATATGTTTATCGCAATCACTTCCAACTCATTAGTATTTGTTTGACTAGGTCTATTTTACATTTTTTAAACAAAATCAGGTTGACTTATCATTCATTGAGACACGGTCACTAATGCTGACTTGCAATGCAAGTTTACGTTCATCTATCGTAGGTGTCTATTAGTTTCAGTCTTCAAGTTGTTTTTGCTGAGCAAAATATCTATCTATCTATCTATCTATCTATCTATCTATATATATATATGACCGCCATGAAAAGACAAAATTTATTTTTATTACCACTCATGATGATAATAGATAAAAAGTAAAACTGAAAAAACACGCTAGCTAACCGGTTTCGAACCTCGCTCAACAGAGCTAAATCGAGGTTAATAAATTAAATAGAATTATCACTAAAAAGAGATGAATAATATGTATTAGACAGGGGGGTGGAGAGAAAAAATTTTGCTTATATGGAAATTATTTGGAGGCCCAGTACGAAGTCCTTCTGTTTACACAGAAAGGGCTTCAACGATAAAATATCAATAGTCTCCAACACTTTTAAGTGGTAATTCGGGTAAGACTTGCTAAGAATGGTAAATGAGTCCACACTGAAACTAGTAGCACAATTATGGCTATTTATTAGGTGCTCTGCGATGGATGACCCATATGTATTGGTCAGAGTGTTTGAAGAAGTGGACTTAAGATATTTTTCTCCCCCCTAATACATATTGTTCATCTCTTTTTAGTGATAATTCTATTTAATTTACTAACCTCGATTTAGCTCTGTTGAGCGAGGTTCGAAACCGGTTAGCTAGACAGTTTTTCGGTTTTACTTTTTATCTATTATCATCATGAGTAGTAATAAATTTTGTCTTTTCATGGCGTGGCGGTCATAAAATTTTGTTCCACAAAACCATATATATATATATATATATATATATATATATATATATATATAATTTCAGATAGAGTATATCTGTAAAAGAACGAAATGCGTCTACTAAGATAAGTTTTCCTGTTTCTTTATATATATATATATATATATATATATATATATATATATATATATATATATATATATATATATATTATATATATATATATAATTATACTCTGGGCTGCAATCCCTCTCTAATACATGTTTCATTGAAAATAATAAAAAACAATAGAAGCCCTAATCTTAAAAAAATCTTTTACAAAAATAATATAAATTATGATCAGGGCCATAATGTACTGGCATTGTTCGGGAATTAAAAACATGTCTACGTATCAGTTACTGCCACTTGCAATAACACAATCAAAATCCATGAAAATATCTAATTGATCATCAGAAAGTGTTCGGAACATACAATTATTTGGACATTTTCTGCACACAAACATTTTAAATAGAATATGTACCATACCTGCAAAAGGATCCGCACTCAAAGTGGATAATTGCAGATCAAGTTTAAATCGGATTTTGACTCAAATGTAAACAAAACTTATGTCTACTTTTTGTTTTAAGGGCCACCTTTTGACTCAGGTATAAACCGGACCTATGTCTACGGTTTGACTTAAATTTAAACCGGATCTATGTCTACCTTTTGACATAAGTTTAAACCGGATCTATATCTATCTTTTGAGTCAAGTGTAAACCGGACATACCCTCTGACTCAAGTATTAATCGAACCGTGTCTACCTTTTGACACAAGTTTAAACCGGATCTATGCCTAACTTTTAAATCAAGTCTGTATCTGTATCTAACTTTTGACTCAAGTAGAAACCGGACCTATACTTACGTTTTGTTTCAAGTTCAAATCGGGCCTATGTGTACCTTTCTATTAATTTATCGGCATTATTGTCCTATAAGACTTATATCCGGCATTAAATAACTCAACAAGTGTTGATGCAATTTTACATTAACCCATTTCTTCAAAGATGAAGAAGAGACTCGAGGCGATGGAGATGTGGTTCTACAGAAGGATGCTAAGGATATCATAGACCGAGCGTGTGAGCAACGATGAGGTCTCGGAGAGGTTGCAAACAAGGAGAAGGCTTATGCTTAACATCAGAAAGAGGCAGCTGAAGTTTCTGGGACACATAATGAGGAAGGAGAGCCTGGAGAATGTAATACTCACGGGTTGAACAGAGGGAAAGAGAGAAAAATGGAAAGCAGTGCGTGGTATACCTGACGAGCTTGAACAGGTGGATGACAGAACATGGTTTGGGGGAGGAAACAGAGAGAAGGAACTTGCTGAGAGCTGCAAGGGATAGAGGGAGGCGGAGAGCCATGATCGCCTACGTCCTGAAAGGACATGGCACATAAAAAGAAAAGAATCCAACCCAACTGGTTTTTCATGGCATAAACATCGACACGAACACACAAATAGATGCGCGCTTGTGTGCATAAATAATATCCGAGACATCTACGAGAATATCCACGCGTTTTTTTTTATTACGAGCTGGCCGACCTGACCAGCAAAGATAATTTCAATCTATATGGGTCTTGATCGGGTTTAAGTGCTCAATGATGGGAGTTAATATTATCAGTCTTCAAGAAGCGTGGAGATAAGATGACATGTATATATTGGATTATGGGATGCATAAACCTTCTTGTAATTTCTTTAAGTTACACTTTTATTTCAAACAAAAATGAAAAGCAATGTCACTTTTCTGGCCTGATGGGACCCGGCAGGGTGTTCGTTCCAACTCGTAACAATACAGACTGCCTGCAATCTCTATCTCAAGTGGTAATTAAATAGTTTTCAGCTAATCCCGTCCCCGGTTTTCTCCCTTCGCTTCTACTTACTGTTTAGCAGGCCATTGGGAAACATAATGGCTTGTCTCTGGTTCTGATTAAATGATATATGATCGGCCTCCTTCTGTTATTGTCTGTCAATTAAGAGGCTCAACGATGGAAGTATTCATGTATGCAAACTTTTATTCAGCATGTAGGTAGGTCGCGAGCAAACGAATTAGCCTTAAGGAAGATGTCGACATTTGAAGCTACAGACGTTTTCAAGACTTCATCGTTTCGTGTTTATATACTCTGAAAAATAAAACAACAGCAAAAAAAGGAGTTTATATATTTATAACTAGCAGTAGAGCCCGGCGTTGCCCGGGGATGTAACAGTAAGAGAAAGATCAAGTATCGACCATCATAAAGACTGAAAAATAAAATTGACAAAGATTATTGTTTAACGTTGACTGAAACGCATGTCTTAATTAGTTTTTTTTTGTTTTTTGTTTGTTTTTTTTTGTTTTTTTTTACGAATTGGTCAAACCCAAAGTCAAACAAAAACATTGTTTTCAATCGTTATGAGTCTACCGATTGAATAGAATTTTATTATAAACAATTGCCTTGTAAATGGAATTTTTAAAGCATTCTGAATGTAAAAATAAAGAAAAAAGTGCGCAAGACAATAAGAAGCATTACCTACCAAAAAAAAAAGTGAAGTTTTGTTGAAATCGGTTGAAAAATGTAGGAAATCCGATCCCATATATAAACGAACACAGACACACACACACAAACAACCTGGGTTTTATAATAAGTATAACTCGATATGAGTTGTCCCCCTTCCATTCTCGCGACAGCGATCCTTCTTAAATGTGTTTTCAAATTGATTTCGTGCAAAAACAATTGTGTTTTACCGATTTTTGGCGCTGTCAGAACCATCGCAAGGTAATTTTACGTAGTTCTGTGAAGTTTTGTTGAAATCGGTTGAAAAATGTAGGAAATCCGATCCAATATATAAACGAACACACACACACACACACACACACACACACACACACACACACACACAACCTAGGTTTTATAATAAGTATGATGTAACATATATTTACGTTCCTACGAAAGTTGTGGATCACGCTCCATAAAGGAAAAATATATTAAATAAAAGAGTCTTAAAACTTAAGACATCAAGCCTGTCTGTCGGTCGATTTTGTCGACATCTCTTCCCAATTGTTCTTTATTTTTACCCGCTTTTCTTTTCGTTTTTCTCTAGCATTCTTTCTTACTCTTTAACTTTCCACTTTTTATGACTTCTTTTCCCTCTGTCAATATTTCTGAGATGAAACATTGTAATTATTTACATCATTTACATTGTTCGAACTGTTATCCTCATCTTTATTGTCATATTCACGACATTTCGGTCGTTGTACGCCCGATCCTTCTTCAGGGAATATACGTTGGAATTTCGAGTCGAACCCTTTATTTCGTCCACATGGTCCAGTGGATAAAAGCGTTGGTTAAAGAGTTGTGAGTTCAATACATGGCCACAGCAGAGGTGAACAAAAACTTAATGAGTTGAATTACTAAAGAGAAATAACTGAAACTGACATATCCAGAAAAGGCATGGCACGTGGAACTAGAACAACCAATAAATCCTAAGCAGAAGTGATATCTTTTATCTTCTTGGTCAATTCCATGATCCATGTTGACTTCTTTCTTAAAGTTATTCCTACCATTGATCTTTCCATTGCTTTTTGCGCTTACTGCCATATCACGATGAAATACCGGTTCTTGTACTATTACCGAATTACTTTTGAGCTTGGTCAGTACCTAGGTGGGTGACCGCTTGGGAATACCAGCTGCTGCAAGCTTGAATGTGCGGGTCGTTTAATAGACAACGGCCCGGAATTGGAAATCTGAGAGCCGAGATCCAATTCCAAGCAGGTGTGTTATATTCATTTATGTACAAATACCATTGGGAAAGGTATGGATCCACCGCTTCTCCCCCCACCCAGCTATGGATCAATTAATAGGATTTGTATCAGTAAATCATTATTACATCGAAAAAAATTCTTACGATCTAAATATTTTCTGATTTTAAATAAACTGCAAAAGGTTGATAAACCGTAAAAAACAAATCAATCAATCCGTTTCACTTTGTGGATTTTCAGTTGGTTTTCAAGCAGTTTTGTTAATTTACATGCTTGGCACCTTTACTTCATAGCTGACATTACACATTCATTACACAATTTTACGTTTTAAGCATATCATTACTATTTCCATTAATTGCTTCTTATCCTGTCATCAAGTATATCTGAAGTGACCTCGATTGATCTCCATTGACAAGATCAATGGTAGCCAGTCCGTCAAACTCACCAGGAATTAGCAGTAACTTTCTTAAAACCCAAAAATGACGACAAATTTACCTGTATGTGTGTGTTTACCTCTTTGGGTGTGTGCATGCGTGTGTGTGTATTTTCTTTTTTTTTTTTTTTTCGTTTACGTACGAGAGAAACCATGTGCAAGAATAGTTAATATGAATTTTGGCAAA